TGAGGACGTTGATGACTTTGAGTTCACTCCGAAACCCGAATTTCCTGGACAGTTTCATGTGGAGAATCTGCCTGATGAAGTCTCTGTATTGGGTGCATTTTTTGAGCATATTCGGCGTGTCCGGCCTAATGTGATCGTTACCTATAACGGTGACAATTTCGATTGGCCCTTTGTAGAGGCGCGTGCTCTTCACTATGGCATCCGGATGACGGAGGAGATCGGATTCTCCCGAAATACAAGCCATTCAGGTATGGGCGCTGCGGCTGGGGCCAGTAGTGATGGCGACTACTTATCTCGGTGCTGCGTCCATATGGATTGCCTCAAGTGGGTGAAACGAGACAGTTATTTGCCTGTAGGCGCGCATGGCCTCAAAGCCGTCGCAAAAGCAAAACTCCATTTCGATCCAGTCGAGGTCGACCCTGAGGTGATGCTGCAAATGGCTCGTGAGTCTCCCAGGTCCCTGGCCAACTATTCGGTGTCTGATGCAGTCGCCACCTATTATCTTTACATGAAGTATGTGCACCCATTTGTCTTCGCTTTGTGCACTATTTTGCCTCTGGGTCCCGACGATGTTCTCAGAAAGGTAGATTACAATCATTTACCAAAATTTGATGTGATCGAATTTTTTTTATCGCCCTCATCCCTTTATGTATTTTCTATCCCTATGCATATATAAATGGTTCTAGTTTCAAGATGCTTTTCTCCACTATAAATATATCAAATAAACTGGGGATGATACCTTTTTGATCTGAAATTATTAAGGATCCAAAAACCTTTAAATCTAGCCTATAATTGCTCAGGCATGTAATCTCCTATTCAGTTATATTTACTTATTGTCCTCTGATTTTTGTAGACATCACAATTCCAGAGGAAACTTTAATTTTTATTTCATTTTACCATAAGAGGTGGTTTGAAAAAAATTTCTGGAAATATATCCTTATTTTGATTCTTTGTTTCTGTATTTTAAAAAAATCATTACCAGAAAAGATTTATTGATCACATTCCCTGGCATCGTTTTTTAACACAGATGTATAGTCTTCACATGGCGTCACCAAAACTTGCAATAAGGCTTTTGCCAGACTCATACCTTTTATTTGTCTGGTAAAAAAAGGAAAAACTGATAAAATCGAAAGCCACATATAAAAAATATTAACACTTCTTCCGCTGGTCTTCAGATACTTTAAGAATCTAGCTGTGAACTAACTATAAAAAAATTGAATTCAAACTTGGCGGATAAAATGAATACTTTAAAATAGCTTTTGTTTAAAAATCTTTCGGTGTTGTATCCTGTCCTAACTATTTAAGCCATGCATTTATTTTTTCGGAAGTCTTCATTTTCCTCTACCTTACTCTGGCTTTCAGGGTTCTGGAACTCTTTGTGAAGCATTACTGATGGTACAGGCTTATGCAGCGAACGTAATCTTTCCACACAAGCAGACTGGCGGCTCTGGATCCGGGATTGACGCTATTGAGAATATATTACCCGAAAAGATGACTTATGGTAGCGATTTCTCCTCTGGGACCAGTCGCTTCACGAGGGATGGCCACTTGATTGACTCTGAGACGTATGTAGGTGGTCATGTCGAGGCCCTAGAGGCGGGCGTATTTCGTGCGGACATTCCGGTTGCCTTCAGACTGTCGGCCGCTGGTTGCCGCCGACTCCGAGAAGATGCACGACGCTGCCTGACTCGTGCGATTCTCACTGAGGTTGGCATGCCTGTCGAAGATTCAGAGGCCCCATTGTCTCAATTCATCAAAATTGAAAGCTTTGACAAGGTGAAAACTTCCTACTTTCTTTCAATAATATATAATGAATTTAGGTATGGTGGATTCAAACCAAGCTGCTTCTTGGACTCATTTTATGCTAGGAATGGGCCATCTTGTTTAAAGCATTGCTTTGGTTTGTCATACCTTTTCTCTTCTGTTATAGGTGATAGTTAACATAATATCATTTATGTATTGAACAATTTTGAGTGATGATTTTGATTTGAGATCATCCACATTCCACATTTAGGCCTACTTAGATCCTCGGTGTGTTCGTGAAATACGCCAAACTGCTTTAACATGCGATTCAAACCTCTTATTTTTATTGCTTATGAATCCTTATAATAAAATTGAGGATTAGTATGTTAAAGCTTAAGCTAAATAAACAATTATCTGTTAGTTAACAAGTTTGATTTTTTTCGTTGCTTGTATAACTCATCAAGATACGTTTCATATCATTTACAACTCCTATTTTTTTCTTGAGTTTATTTTTATACCAAACCTTTTATTAAGCATTAGTTGGTAAGTGGACAAGGCAAATACTGTTATGGCGACATTGACTTGTTTTTTATAATCTAACTATTTAAAGTATTGAGGCGAGGCAGACTAATGGGACCATATTCAGAGGATTAAACAATTTTGTAAATTTTTAAGCTTAATGTAATATAAAATATTTGTTTCGATAGGCATTATATTTTTTCCTCTTCTAATTCGATGAAATTAGTTTGGCTGACTTACAATCCCTCCGCCCTTCCAGATTATGAAATTTTTTAAATAGATATTAAAGATTTTGACGACTTCTTTAACTTACACAAATCACTTTATACGATATTTTATTCTAGCCAAAAATCTTAAACCATCCAGTAATTTTCATCATTTAGATTAAAGTCGTTATGTTATTCAAAATAAGATAAAAGTAAAGGCTCTTTACTTTGAACCCTTCAGCTAAGAAGTAGCTTGATTAACTTGTCTCCTTTAGGAGCCATTCAGTATCTAACGTTTAAAATTTCATCGCTGATCGAACTTAGGATTCGAAAACTATCTCTTTTTATTATCTCTTCGCCCGATTTTCATCTTCCATCTGCCCGCCCCAATGCAGATTAGATTCTTTCCTCATATTTTTTTTCTAGATTTTGTATTAACCTCTCGTCTCTATACCCTTACAAACTTTTTTTCATAACAACCACTTACCTATCAAATCAATTCTATCTATCGTTCCCCGTCTTCTTGAACTAGTACCTATTTCTTCTATAATATTTTACCTAATTTTTTTATACTTTTTCGGCACTGCACATTGATTAAATGCTTGCCTATTCAGGTGTGTAGTAGCATGGAGGCGACTCTAAGTGATTTGGCTGCCTCTCCCAATCGTATCGAGTGCCCTGTCATCTACCATCTTGATGTTGGCGCTATGTACCCCAACATCATTCTCACTAATCGCCTTCAACCTTCTGCCGTTCTTCCAGCTGATGCCAATACTCGGTGCCCTGGCTGTCACTTTTACAAGGTGCATTTAGCTTGACTCTTTTGCAACTATTTTATCGGCATAATGCTCTAAAATATTTTGTGATTTACTATTCACTATTGTCGGTGATCCGTAATATTCTTAATTACTTTGAATTTCAAGCGTAAGGTCTTTTAGGCTTATGAGTTGATTAAAATCTGTATCCACGGGATAGTATATATAAAGGTTACACCTACTTTCAGAGAAAACAATTTTTCATATATTTTCCCATAACGGCAATGTCTCAATCTAGATAATTTGAAGACGATTTATTTCTGTTGCTCAGTGGTAGTGGTACTTGGGACAAAATCTTCCTTTAAGACTATTTTACATCTTCTAAAGTAGTTGCAGGACCTTTTGTTAAGTTGATCTTGTAGATGCAAAATTCAATAAGAAGCAGAATCTTCTTCAATGCAAGTTTGGTGGGTCGGCAGCTGTTCAGTAAAATATTTGTTGAATTTAGATTAACTTGCCAATTTATTCCATGAATTATTTATATTGGAACATCTCTGGAGAACAAACTTGGCTATGCTAATTTGTTTATTTTCCTACGGACTCCTTCATTTTTAGAAAAGGCGAAATCTATGCATGCTGAAATATTATAATTGACTATCTTGTTAATGGGCCCATGTATAAATGCTACACTAATAGCTATCTCTACTAGTGAAGACCAATGACAAAAGTAAACTGACCTAAATTCATCACGGGCCTTCAATTATCATTCGTCATGTACTCTGTCGCTAAATTTATTGAAATTATCTTTCTTGTTTCTTTCTATTTCATATTGGCCCCTGGATTGTGACAACGAACAATCACTTTCTCATTTGGATTTCTTCTGTTTTCATAACGATCAATTAACGAAGAAGAGTTGTCTTATTTGCATTATTTTTTCTATTTTAATAAGATGGATGCCTTATGCCAACGCTTCATGCCCTGGACTTGGCGGGCGGAAATATGGACTGCTTCGCGTGCTGAGTGCTATCGCGTTCAGGCTCAATTGGCTCAAGAGAAGTTTCCCTCAAAAGTAACGAATGAAGCAGGCCGACAGGTGGGTCGAAAAAAGTTACTATTTGTTTGATTATTCCTATTATTGTACGCAAGCAGAATTGTACTATTTCACATAACTGTGGCTTCAGTCTCTAATAGATTGAACATTGGTGGCCAAATAAACTTTCCAAAGGTCGGAAGTTTGATTCGTTTAATGACGAGAGAAAAATGTCTTAATTATTCTACTTTCCATTCATAATGTAATCTCTTTTAAAATTCAATAAAAAAATATTTGCTAGATATGAAAACCGATCTGATCTAGCCTTTAGTTCATTCGCTGTATCATTCCGTCAAGCTTCCTGGAGGACTTTGAAGAATAAATATCGCACCCTGTACTTCATTATTATTGCAATGTCTTCCTACTAAATAAGATTTGCAGACATCGTAGTCAGCATAGTTAGGGGGCGGCTCTATCCCTAGCACTGAACCTAGACTCTGCAAATCCTATTGTAATTATTATGCTCTTTCATCTCATAACAAAACCACTTATTTGAGAGTATTGTTGGGGGGACTTTCATTTATTATGAAAGTGAATGAAGAAGAGATTCGTTGGTCGATCTCACCAGATGAGGACGGATGAATCTCGTTGTA